GGGAAACTGATTTGTTGACTTTACTGGGCAGCGACGTTGATATGTTTTTCTTTTTATCTGTGACTCTTCCCGAGGTGCCAAGTCACACACCAGTACTAATATGATTCATATTCACCGCTAACAAGTAAAATATATATACAGAAGAGCAGAGAGAGAGAGAGAGAGAGAGAGAGAGAGAGAGAGGGAGAGGGAGAGGGAGAGAGGGAGAGGGAGAGGGAGAGAGGGAGAAGGAGGGAGAGGAAGGGAGAGAGGGAGAAGGAGGGAGAGGAAGGGAGAGAGAGGGAGTGTGTGTGAAAGGGACGGACGGACGGACGGACACACACACACACACACACACACACACACACACACACACACACACACACACACACACACACACACACACGTACACACACAAAGGTTGCTGTGATCATAATTCAGGTAGAGAGAGATCCGGGAGGTTGACACACAAATTAACGCTCAATCGTCGCCATCAAACATTGGGATTCAACAGTTAATTTGCATACTGAGGTGCAGACCGCTGGAGGCTGAGCAATTGATACGTTCCACCTGGCGGAGACTAGCAGTGTCGGGCTCCATGCCTCTCTTATAACTGTTAATGATTCAGATAATCGTCCCAGCACCACGGTCTCAGACCAAGTGCCTCTCTTATAACTGTTAATGATCCAGATCATCGTCCCAGCGCCACGATCTCAGACCAAGCATCATAAATCTCTGAAAGGTATCTTGCACGAATAAAAAGCAGAGTCACCTCTCTTATACTATTACCTAATGGTTATAACCATGATTTTTAAAGGAATGAATCGGTAAGCTAGCGGAAGGCCTCGGTCAGATGACCAAAAGCTCCAAATGCGGGTCATATATGACTAAGAAGCGCGTCAGGAAACACTTACCTTCTTTCCTGACAAATCTTACCTGCATAACCTAACCTTTCTTATAAAGCTTCTCTATGTAGAGCGATTTTTTGGCAAAATCGATTAGAAAAGTGCATCAAAAATTGAATAACATACAAAGGAAGCTTTTAAATAGACTATTAAAGTTTGAAAGTGCTTTGTCAATCGCATTTTCGAAAAACTGCTCTCTAAAGCGGAGCTTTGCAAGAGAAGTTACTGCACGAAAATAAATATACGTACTCTGTACATGAGAGTACATGAGAGACAGAGCACAGGACTCTGAAGTCCCCCACCGAGGCTGTCTACTGAGAACTATTTACTTCTATCAAGTATAAGAACTCACGAGTATCATCGAGGTGTACGAGTCAAAGATAGAAAAACAGAAGGCTCTTATTGTAAGTTGATTAATAATTCATGTTAAACGCTAAACTCATGTGGTCATCTGATGTAGAGGATTGTTTCCCCCGAGCTTCCTACTTGTACTCACCTGGATGTTTAAATATCCACTCTGTAAGTAGTAGCCTGGAAGATTTACCTGCCATCCTACACCTTCACGAGATGGAAAGAAAAGACCAGCAGTGCTTCCAGGTGGGTAGCACCTCCCTCATGGTTGCTGCCAGGAGGGTAGCACCTCCCTCATGATTGCTGCCAGGAGGGTAGCACCTCCCTCATGGTTGCTGCCAGGAGGGTAGCACCTCCCTCATGGTTGCTGCCAGGAGGGTAGCACCTCCCTCATGATTGCTGTCAAGAGGCCAGGACCTCCCTCATGATTGCTGTCAGGAGGGCAGCACTTCCCTCATGGTTGCTGCCAGGAGGGTAGCACCTCCCTCATGATTGCTGTCAGGAGGGCAGCACTTCCCTCATGGTTGCTGTCAGGAGGGCAGCACCTCCCTCATGATTGCTGTCAGGAGGGTAGCACCTCCCTCTTGGTTGCTGCCATGATGGTAGCACCTCCCTCATGGTTGCTGTCATGATGGTAGCACCTCCTATGGTTGCTGTCATGATGGTAGCACCTCCCTCATAGTTGCTGCCATGATGGTAGCACCTCCCTCATGGTTGCTGCCATGATGGTAGCACCTCCCTCATGGTTGCTGCCATGATGGTAGCACCTCCCTCATAGTTGCTGCCATGATGGTAGCAGCTCCCTCATGGTTGCTGTCAGGAGGGTAGCACCTCCCTCTTGGTTGCTGCCATGATGGTAGCACCTCCCTCATGGTTGCTGTCATGATGGTAGCACCTCCCTCATAGTTGCTGCCATGATGGTAGCACCTCCCTCATGGTTGCTGCCATGATGGTAGCACCTCCCTCATGGTTGCTGCCATGATGGTAGCACCTCCCTCATGGTTGCTGCCATGATGGTAGCAGCTCCCTCATGGTTGCTGCCATGATGGTAGCAGCTCCCTCATGGTTGCTGCCATGATGGTAGCACCTCCCTCATGGTTGCTGCCATGATGGTAGCAGCTCCCTCATGGTTGCTGCCATGATGGTAGCACCTCCCTCATGGTTGCAGTTTACCAACCTGCAGCTTAATATAACAAAAGATTTTCCATGGATCCAAATGTCGTACTGCCGACAATAATGAATAAAAGACGCACACTGCAGAACAATCTTTTATTGCAGCAACGTTTCGCTGTGATACACCTCTATAATGATCGAAACGCTGTCCCAGAAAAAGAAGTCAGTTCTTCAAAGTTTATCTTTCCTTCATGATATATTTTGTTCATTTTGTCTCGTATGGCTTTGAATTTCAATGTACATTTATTTCTTAGCTTAATGTCAGGTAAATACTTAAAGGTACCGGAGATTCCGATTAATTTAATATTCCCAAACCTAATTGTGCACGACTGAATCCAGGAATAAAATTGAGGCTTAACGTTTTCTACATACCAAAACGAGTGATATTAAAAAAAATGCCCTACTAATTATAAAGACCATTTGATGATGCGAAGAATATCACTGACGGCCTTTTTAAAACGCCGACAATAGCCCACGTGAGTTCACTCTGCAGATGCACTGGTGTTAAGTTATTGCTAATGGGTCCTCTATTGATTGCAAAATTATAGGCGTCAGCATTCATCACCGTTGAGTGGTCCAATAACCTCCAGGAGAAGCTCACAAAAAAGAGAGTTGGATCCTGCAAGTCATGGGTGTTAATTCGAATCAGCTGGAAGGTTAGTTTCCATTCAGGTGAAGGCTTAGAAGGAATAGTGATTTGTCATTGAAGGTAGCTGGAACGTCTTTTAAACATTTCGTGCATTAATGTCGTACAGAGGAAATGAAGCTGTCGGAACGTCACCGCTCACAGCAGTAGGAAACAAGTCCACACACTATCAACATAGGCTTACATTCAATATTATTTCAGATACATTCAACAAACTCGCATACATTCACTGCAGTCTAAATATAGTCAAGTCTCAAATACATTTGATATATCAGATATATTCAACACATGCTCAAATGCATTCAAATGTATACATCAGTCTCAAATACATTCAATATGATCTCCCAGCTGGTAGCCACAATTTCAGTCTCCGAAGAAAGGATTTCACTCTGTTCCTAAGCACAATAGTACGAAGACTTACCCCTTTCCATTGTCACTCAACCCTTAGGACGCCTCTTTCCTGCCTTCCTTCAACCCTTAGGCAGCACCCACCTTTCCTTCAACCCTTAGAAGACACCTACACATCCTTCCATTAACCCTAAGACGCCGCCATCCCTCTTTCAACCCTAAGACGCCGCCGTCCCTCCTTTCTTCAACCCGAAGACGCCGCCAGGCCGAGTCCATGACGAGCACCTCCGTTTTCCCTTTGTTAGACGCCGATCAAGGACAATGATTCGTGGGATGTATTGTGTAGAAGGCGCTGTTTACCTAACACCAGTAGCGTCGCGCATCAATGGCTACCTGATGGACTTGCTCGGCTCGCTGAATATTAAACAGGACCTCCCGAGTGGCCGCCGCGGGATGAGAAAGGTAGTTGGGGATAGGGGATAGGGACGAGAGGGATGAGTCTCAGTGGACGACTGGATGCTGATGAAACGGGGGAAAGGGAAGATCACGCTGACCAGCAATGTGTGTTATAGTGAATACAGACTGGGAAGAGTGTGTTACATTATTAAAGGATACGGAAGGATGCCGTAGGCATCTCCCAGCAAGAAAGATGAAGAGTATCACAGTCAATGTATAATTTTACAATTGGTAGAGGGACACGGTGAGCCATGGACAAAGACACGGCGAGCCATGGACAAGGACACATCGAGCTGCGGACAAGGTGAGACACGGGCAAGACAGATGGGTTCGCCTCGCAGAAAAAGGGATACGGTTGGGGTTATCACACCTTCACGAGAAAATCTTGTGTTTGGACGAGTGACAGAAGCTTTGGCGTGCAAGGTTGAGATGCTCAGAGAGGGAGGAACGGGGAAAGGGATCCCTTACAAGACCCTACAAGATCATTTCTACGAGACAAAGACACCTACAAGATGATAAGTAGCAAAATACCCTTTAATGAATAAAAGTTCGAATATTGTGGCTGGAAAAAGTCCTAACCCATAAACTCGAAAAAAACCTGACGAATTTTCGATCCGTCCTGGATCATTTTCAGACCTCAAGTGAGTTTTCCGGGACGGAGCGAAACGTCATCTAGATTGCATTTACTGTTGTGGGTTACTAGTGAATTGTTCCATCCAGCCACGGTATTATGCCTTATTCTTCACAATAACAAAAGCCACGAATGGAGACATTATATATGTATATAATATAATAGAGGTTGTTCAATTTTTTCTTAATAACCTTTCCTCCCCTCCCCCCCCCCACAAACACACACGCGCGCGTCGTTCTTAGTCCTTTCTACCAGTACCGCCACCAGTATATCACCCCTCTACACCCCCTCGCCATCACAATCATCACACCACCACACTCACCGCCACCACCACAACATCACCACTACATGCATGTAAGTGAGACACCTGCAGCGCAAGTATCTCAATTACTTATTTGTCGGTATTAGATACCATCTCTGACCCACTACAATCACACCATCAAACCCACCCCAACAATTACCCATTATCACAATCCCTACCACCATTCACTGGCTGTTTCTTCTTCCTCAGGAACATACGAGAAGGGAGACTAGGTCCAGAGGGCCTCTCCCTGGCACCCAGGTCCCTGGAAAACCTGCTGGTGGACAGAGCGAAGAGCGAACACGATCTCAAACTTCCCACTTCGGAGTTCGGTAAGCAGTTTCACGATGTCTACGGTGAGTACTCGCTCAGTTCCACTCACTTCCGCTGGCTTGGCTTTTGGCTGTTGCGAACCCTTTATTTACTTTACTTCACTTACATTTATTACCTAGTGCTTTTAGGGAATAAGAGGGAATAGATGGATAGAAAGGGCGAGTGGGGATGCGGTCTATCGAAGAATGACGTGGATAGGTAGTACAGAAGGAAGGATTGAGGATGAGCCGATGGTTAGATGAATGAAGGTTAGATGGATGAACGGATAGGAGAGGATATGATCAAAGCATAAGACCACAGAAGCACTGCGTAGACCTACTTACCTAGGGATGGGTGGATAGGAAAAGAAGGCTGGAGAATAAAGTGTGCTCTCTTAGAGAGCTAGACAGATGGGTGAATAAGAAAGGATGGATGGTTGAGTATGCTGTCATAAAGAGCTACACAGGTAGGGTTATCTGTAGGATACATGTAGTTGCTTCCGGAGGTCACTGCTCCCGCGGATTGGTCCCAGACCAAGCTTCCTGGTGCTAGGCAAAAGGACACATGTGCAACTAACGCGACATTTTATTGTGGCAACGTTTCGCCCTTCAGGAGTTTTGTCCTTTTACCTAATATACTGTCGATAATTCTACCAACATTATTACAAGCTTCCTGGTTGCTGGTCTGTTCGACCAGGCTGTTGGTCGCAGAAGGAAGACAAGTGTGTTATTCTAACAGCTGTAGCTGCTGCATATTAAAAGGGAGGAGGTAGTTACAATTAAGAGCTGTAGTTCTTTAGGCATCTGCTCTAGAACCTTGAGTCTAGATGCTCTTTTGTTCAGTTTCTGCAAGTGCTATTTCTGCTGTTTTAGTTACGTGCGAAGAAAAGTATTTGGCTTTTATTTCTTTTAAGATGTTTGAACTATTGATGAATATGCTGAACAAGAAGACCATACCCTGCTGTTTTGTTTCACTGTGTTATTTAAAAATATGATCCTGCAATCTGGTTCGAGCCAAGGAAGGGGGACATAGCTCTATTGCCTTGGATCAAGGTCCCTCCCTTGAAAGTGACATAAAGCTGGCAACAAGCAGCACCACCAGATGATCATATTACACAGGTGGTAATGTTATGCATTTCTCCCTTGCAGGACCGCTGCCTCCCATGGGCCACGCCCACCTGCACCCTCCACTGAGGCCCCACCTGCCACCTCCACTCGCACCTCCCCCATTGGCCTCCCCTTTGCAACCCCTGGCACCGCATCCCCCACCAGGCACACCGCTACACCATCTGCTGGGGGAAGAGTGGCGCCGATCCTTGGAGAGACACCATCTCAGCTCAGGTTAGTGACACCACCTACATACTCTCAGCTTAGGTTAGGGTCATCTTATTGGCACTTAGATTAGTGCCAGCTATTTGAAACCTCAGGTTAACACTATGCACTTGACAATTACTTCAAGTAAGCGCCACTTTCTTGCCACAGCTTAATTAAGTGCCACTTTTTTGACAGCTTGGTTAAGTGTCACTTTCTTGACGCAGCTGAAGTGCCACTTTCTTGACATTTAGGTTAGGGCCAATTCCTGATACCTGCAACTTAGATGAGTTCGACGCTGACACTTCCAACTCTAATATAACATCAAATATAACCCAGATATGATTAAAAGCTCAAATATAACAAAAAAAAAATCATAAATAAAAATTCATATATAACTAAAAACTCATATGTAACTAAAAAACAATTTAGATATAACTAAAAAAGTCAAATATTACTAAAACTAATAAAAAGGTCGATTACAATTTATAACTCAAATATTCACCAAAAACCTTATGGCGACGTTTCGGTCCATACTGGACCACTGTAAGGACAGAAACAGGGCAAGAAAATTAGAAAGGCCTAAAAGACAATACTCAAAATAAAAAATAAATAATTAAAAAAATAATAAATATAACTCAAGTATAACTAAAAATGGGAAATATAACTCAAACGTAACATACCTCGGTGGCAGAGAGACCACGTAACAGAGAAATTATATAATCTTGCAGATGGGCAATAAACTAGAAGCGTACTTAGCTAATTCTTCCTCTGCGTCTCATCCACAGGCCAGATGTCCCCAGACAGCGGCGGTGTCCCAATGGAGCGCTCGGACTCCCGGGACTCTCCTTTAGGAGACATCAACATGAAGAGTCCTTCCTCCCTCGCCAACGGCTTCCCTCACGAAACCAAAAGCCCCTTTCAGTCCAGGGACGACCGTTCGCCCTTCAAGGAAGAGATCCCTTCGCTGGCCTTCAAGTTCGAGGATCGTATTACTGGAGAGTCGCTCATTCCCAAGGGCGACCCAATGGAAGCCAGACTGCAGGAGATACTTAGGTGTGTGTTGTGTGTTAGTTACCAGTCGTCAAAGGCACTTGTCGATAAACACTTGGCCTGTTGTTCGGTGTGTGTGCGTGTGTGTGCGCGCGTGTGTGTGTGTGTGTGTGTGTGTGTGTGTGTGTGTGTGTGTGTGTGTGTGTGTGTGTGTGTGTGTGTACGTGCGCACGCGCGCGCTGCTAAACATCTTCGTTGTTAGTGTAATAAAAAAATACTAAGATATATTAATTTCCTTTAGAAAAAGTGTGCACATACATCTTTGCATATGTATACCAGCTTTTAATTTGTGTATACCAGATTGCAGTTTGTGTGCACCAGCTTGCAATTTATGCACAACAATTTCCAATTCGTTTACACGAGCCTACAGTCTGAGCACACCAGCTTGGTGTGTACACTAGCTTGTAGTGTGCACACCAACTTGCAATCTGTGTGCACCAACTTGTAATCTATGTACACCAACTTGAAATTTGCGAATACCAATATGCATTCTGTGTACTCCAATTTCCAATCTGTGTACACCCACATTTATATCCCCATCTCATTCGTCCTCCGTCTCCTCCGCAGATTCAACATGGAGAAGTTCTGTCAACAGAATCTAGACACACTCACCCTGGCTAGGCGGGTTAGAGAGCTGCTCTCCATCCACAACATTGGCCAGAGGCTTTTCGCGAAATACGTTCTCGGACTCTCACAGGTGGGTTCCAATCCTCCTAATCTTCAAACAGGTTCAGATTCGCTTACTCTCTGCGAAGATTCACATGTTAGGAATCGACGTTCCAATATATATATATATATATATATATATATATATATATATATATATATATATATATATTATATATAATATTGTATAATAAACTTGATTTATCTAATTAAATCTTCTTGAATAACAACAAATTGTGTATGCATAATTTCTTAAAAATATTCTGAATAAGAAATATATTTCATTGTATTGTTTATTATTCAATTACTGAAAACTTATTAAAATATATTTAGTTGGATTAAATAAACTGATTTCAATTGCCCCTTGTTCGATAAGGTTAGGTAAGCATAATTCTAAAATCTTTTCGAACAACAAAATATATTATGTTTTTTATTATTCAAATTATGAAAAATATAATATCTTATAACGTAATAAAGCGATTGTTAGATAGGTTTAATTTGAATGAGTATCTTTCAACTGACCATTTTAACTTTCTCACAGATAAAATATATATTTTAAAGTATAAGAAATTAGAATATAATTTCTAACTATTTATAGTAATAATATATATATATATATATATATATATATATTTTATAAATTAATATATACCTTCAATGATATTCATTTTGCTTCTCATCTCTTTTCTCCGTTTTACATTTTTCTCTGTTACCACCTTTATTATAATTTTACTCCTCACCTCACTTCTTTAACTTTACATGAATTAATACCTGACAATTCCTGGCGTCTTATTTCTAAAATTTGTTTTTCTTCTTCCATACTGTTTCTATTTTCCATAATTTGTCCTTTCCAAAACTTTGTTGTTACTTTTCTGTAATTCACATAGTTATTCTGTGCCGCCCACTGAGGGATGTGTGTGTGTTTGTAGTCTGAACAGTGTTGCTTGCTGTCTCTGCAGGGTACTGTGTCGGAGCTGCTGTCTAAGCCCAAGTGTTGGGACAAGCTGACGGAGAAGGGGCGAGACTCGTACCGTAAGATGCACGCCTGGGCCACCGATGACAACGCTGTCTTCCTCCTCAAGTCACTCATCCCCAAGAAAGGTGAGTACCGAAAAGTCTTCTGGGACGGGGCCCTGGGATAAACTGTGGGTGTCGTGGGGGTAACTGTGGGATTTACAGAGCACTCTGTGCACAAAGCATTATATAACTCGCAAAGTTACACACATCAAAATTATTCATATAATAAAAACAATAAGAAATACTATCATACGAGGTACTGAAAACCACATCAGTTCATTTACATTAAAAGCTTTTCCTAAAATGTCGCCGAGGTCTCAGTAGACAGCAGAGGTAATGAAAATATTATGGGCCTTAAGAATGTTGAGTCCTGGTAAACATTCAGAGCTCTGTACCACAAAAAATATATCAGCACTTAAGACATCTACAGAAAATAATAACCCTATTAAGGAAAAACATACACACGCGGTTCTGCCAAAACATATATATATATATATATATATATATATATATATATATATATATATAATATATATATATATATATATATATATTATGTCGTGCCGAATAGGTAAAATTGGTCAATTAGCAAGAACTTGTTTAAAATTAAGTCCTTTCTAAAATTTTCTCTTGTACGTTTAAAGATATATTTTTCATTTACTTTAATGTAAAAATTAGTAACTTTGTACCAAAAGCACCTTAGAAAACTTGCCTAAACTTATTATAACAAGCGCAATTTAATTTAGCCTAATTCAGCTAAATATATTTTAGACAAGTTTACAATAATTTAATAATAAACACAATGAAATGTATTTTTTCGTTAGGTTCAAAATGATTTTTGCGAAATTATTA